ACAAACCATTATAGCAGCCCTGATGAGGAATGACACTGTGTCAGGCTGCTGAGTTCTGCCTGGGACTACTGGTATTTGCCTGACCAGATCGAACTATTCCACAAACTCCCGCCATGTTTGACAAGGCCAGCTGAACAGCCAGCCACGGACAGGCCCTGAGCTTGTACCTACATACATGCTCATCATTCCACCTCCTCCTTACATGTAGACCACAAAAGCAAAACCAACTGTCACTCACAAGCAAAGAGCTGCTGTCAGCCACCCGTCTTTCCTAAGCCACAATCCTATAGAGGTTCACTACTGGCTACATAATGGTTTTGCCATATTGGGTTACCTGCACTTCATGATTACTGTGTTTTCAGTTAATGATGCCCAGGAAATGGGACCATTAATGAACATCAACATAAACACAGGAGGGAGGGAAAGGCACATTCAATCACTGAACAACATTGGTTTGCTTTTATGTATAACATTAGAAATATGAATGAAGCCCTAAGATTTAATCATGTCTGAACAATGCGATATGTTGAATCCACCACATCAATGATACTAGTGGTAGCAGCTTTTACTATGATTTATAAACAGTACTGAGGTTCTCTAGCCTAGCCCCTAATAGATAAAAGGTGATGACCTGGGCAAGTTGGTAAATGTGATTATATCCTTCATTGGGCCTGGAAATGAGAAACACACTTTCCTGTTTACTCAGCCCTGGTCCTAGGTTTGCAGGTCCATTTGCAGGCAGTGGGTTGTCAGTTTATTGGGAACCACCAGGGTATTTATCCCAGCAGAGTTTATCTAACAACAACCCAGTGGGCATGTTTATGTTACAAACTTTGTGGTTTCCTGTCAAACCCCGAAATTTCTTGGAAACTGTTCTTTTTCAGTAGCCAGGTAAACGGAAGAACACGCTATATACATTCATGGTACTCTGGGATTATCTATAGTATAGATCTGTCCGTCAAATAATGATGTTGTAATTTTCAATCTGAAAAAATATGCATCTTGTCCTCATAAAAGTATTTAGGAATTTTAATTAGTCTTGGTCTGTGTAACCATTTGGAGACATAGACCAATCAATCCACACATTTAGGGCCTAAAGTGGGCTATTTCCACATCTACCATCCATTATTGGAAGTGTGCTCATGTCTAATGGCTGGCATTTTCCAAATGCCATTGGCTGACATCATATATGACATAGTTACAAATCCCATATCTGTATTTCAGTTTCCCCAGGCTAGCTTTAACACTACCTATATGTCACTACAGTGTATTGATCAATGAGGGGCTGAAGAGAGTGGAAGTACTACTGACGCTAACAGCCCATTGACGGTCGGAGAAGTAGGCTTACACAAATCCGGATCCTCCCACAAACACGCTGCTGTATTCTCCAACAGGGGTGAAGGGGTCGTTTTATGCAGGCAGGAAGAATGAGTGACCAACAAAGGAGGAAAGTGATGGTGCGGAGAGAAAAGCCTGACAAGTTCCTGAACCTTGGGACACCGGGTCAATGTTGCTTACACATACACCAAACAGGAGTAAGGTACCCAGAGACAAGATGCCTGTTCAGCTGCCAGATATATGTCTTTGTTCTCCACATTTTCGTCAGGCTGTAGCAGTAGCTACCTATAAACCAGAATAAAAATCAAAAACGTAATGATGTTGGTACCTGCTTGGCACAGTTTCACCATGTTTTATGATCAAGTAAGAATTTTGAAATAGTCTTCATGGCAAATGTAGAACTTTAAGCCTTAATTATTAAGGGTATCAATGTTTTTCAAAATCAGATGTAAGAAATTATGTAACAGATAAATATTGACCATGACATTAGAATTTCTCATTTAGTGCAAATGAATAATTTTCTTGGAACCTGTTCTTCAGTGTGACACATAGCTGACATATGATTTTTTTCAGACAATATAAAATATCTGACTTATTCCCCAAAACAACAGCTGCATTAACCAAACATCAAAAGTAGATAACCTATACATATGAGTCTACTAGCACCTCATATTGGTAGACCTCATATTGTTTTCTCACAATATGACGTGAATATTTACATTTTGATCACGCCAATTTGAAGTCTGTGTTTACATTTGCGCAAGTGGCAACTGCACAATACTTAACAATCATTAACAGAAAGATATATGGTAATATAGCTATTACACCACTTAAACCCATCTTGACCATCAGCCTGCAAGCTCTCTGCCCCACTACAGGTGCACAAGACAAGGAAACACTTTGTTCCCCTGTAGTTCCCATAGGAACCCCTGACTGTAGGATAATGCCAGCCTTTCAAGGCTTCCCTGCTATCATCCCAGACACCATTACAGGAACCAATTGCCACATGACCTTGCAAGCTTCCGCCATTTCCCCCATCAAATTGGTTTCTACTGAATTTCCCAAGAGGAGCTAAATGGCTCACCACACACTGTATGTGTAGTTTGCATGTTTGACAGGGCGGTCTCCAGCATTTTGTCAGAGCAAATTTTTATTAAATCATTGCATAAACTTCATGCTTCTCATGACATGAAGTTCAGATTTTTGGGACGGGTAGAAATTTTTGTTCAGGGATAGGTCCTTGAGATAGCCCTGATGTTTGAGTAAAGTTGTGCATAATTAATAGATGAAGCTCAGGCTACAGTCTTTATGTATGATTCAGATAGTATTTTATCGATGAGTGTAGACTTGAATAAATAACATTTCATTTATTAGAGTGCTATTATGTATCTTCAAGATTGTGATGGCCATGCTTGTTCAGCAGGATATCAAAATAAGTACTACATGTAGTATAACATGAATATCAAGTGAACCACTGAACATAACATTATAATTTTAAAAACATAACAGTATAACTTATGTTTCTTACAATTTTGACGCATTTAACCCTTTTTGGTGATTCAATGCACTTTATTATCTTTACTATCTTTATCCACAATGTGACAGAAATCGAACACAACAAAGTACCAGCTTTTCAAAATAAAAATGGTATTTTTCTGCTCAGTCTGTTATTTTTTATTGTTCCACACACGCCTGGCTGGGATATGGCTCTACCACAGACATGACATAATCCCAGTGTCCTTGCATGCACTGACAAGTCCTGCAGGATTACAACCAGCTTTGTTTGGTTGTCACTGACTATTTTCTCCACGCTCTGAGATAAACCAAAAGAAGCCAACTCAACATCTGGGCCCAGTGGTGCCCATGGTAGGGGCTTCTATGCAAGGTTGAAGACCACTGAAGTGCACTATTCCTCAATGAACCCACTCTATTGGGACTTGTGTGGTAGATGTGTATTGACCAAAACAAAGACATGTTTTAGCAGGTGTGAAAAGAGACCTCACAGAAGCCTGTCTATGTTAGAATATAAATGGGGAAAAGAACACTTGGTTCTGACTATACAATACAGGCATGTGTATTACAAGAAAGAATAGAGAAAAAGTCATTGAAAGCACAGAATACTGTATCTGTATAGCCAGTATGACTATGACACACGAATCTTCCATTTAATGTATGTAACCCAAATACAGTGGTCAACATAACTGTTAAAAAACATACAAGCTGCTACACCACTGAAATCAAACAAACGCCACCCAATTAAGTAAGCATGCCCAGTTGAATACATTTCAGCAATGGCTGACCCAAATATGACAACAAAGATGGCAGCGAGGCCATCCCTTGAATGCACCAATAACATGCCAACAACATCCTGTTCCCTTGCATATACATAGCTCACTTCCCCCTGACACACGCACAAGTTATGAGTGGGGCAAATACTTCCTGTCTGAACAATCTCCCTGGCTGAGGCCTGAGGTCCACAGTATAAAGGAAGTTAAACCACAACAATGCCCACCTTCTACAGTACACCTTTTGACTAGGGCACAGAGTGACCCCAATACAACTGTGTTCTGAAAAGTCTCCATGCGCGTCAATGTGGGTTTCATGGAACTGCCATTTGTGTGGTATCCACGATTCAAAGGTGAAAATGGTCCGTGAGGGAAAGAATGCTTTTAACTTCCCATGTCATTTGACTCAAGGGCACTCCGCCACCCCTTTCACTGTATACATAAGGGGACCAGGTGACATAGAAACACATTCATTACTGCCCAACGCTGTGCACCTGACTGAATTTCAGCAGCCATAGTGGCATGTAAGGTTGCTGTTTGGGACAGTATCTATTCCATGCGCGCCAATCGAATGTCTACGAGCTATCATTCTGAATGACTGTTAGGGTTAGTCAGGTTTGAATGTGCAGACCCTGCAGGCAAACCGCTGTACAGTCACACCGTTGACATGGGAATATTTAAGCGGCTCGATGTGTGGCGTGTGTGAAATGGAGTGGAAGTCTCATTGTATGTTTTATCTATAGATGAAAGTCGGAGGGTCAGCCTCCAGGTTCAAGTGGGGCCACCTCCTTTGTAACACCTGGCCAAAAGCCACCTCCATGGATCACAGGCACACAAACAAAAGGTGATAAAAGGTGAGATAAACAATAGAACCAAATAGCCCCCATGTTTTTTTGTCAGGAGAGTTCTTACACAAACAAAACTCCACATAAAGATCCTGGGTGACCAGACACCTGGTAATGTACCCGAATTATTCATAGGTGGGGTGGTTTTATATTTCAGATCAATATCTATCATCTCGTTAATTAATATGCCTATTGATTGCCCCAATATTTCAACCGTATGCACACATAAGACTCCTTTTTAACATATTGACATCCTTTTTTTCCAGAAAGATGCTGTCATAAAGTGAAATACACTTGCGATGACTCACCAACTGCTGAACTAGAAGCCATAATGTCCTATGGGGGAAACTATTAGTATACTTGTCTGCCACGCAGGTGTCCCAAAGGGCTCTTCACCCACTGAGCCACATTTACACCAGAATAGGCTTACATCATGTCATCACTGATTCCCTCACACCAAGCACACAATTTCACACAGAACAGGTTAGGAGTGCAATTTTAAGTGGACGTTCATGTCTGAACTATAACTTACCGGCGCTGGCATCATGCTGGCTTATTAATGACGAGTCCGTGTGGTGATTTTTCGGTGGATCCTCAGGCACACATCCCTGCGTGTCCACCCGGAGATCTTGGAGAACTGGCAAATCCTGTAAAATACAGACGACAAAGATCCCCCTCGACTTCCTCGAATGCTCACCAAATGACTCAATTGGTTGTGTGTCAGGGTGGGGAGTAATAAATACTCTTTTGCCGTGAATAAGCCAGTCTTGGTACGACGGACGCTTTGGTTCCCTTTATCGGATCAACATGAACAACCGGTCAAAGAACTGGTCCCGCATGCACCCGTGTCGATATCGGTCTCCCAGGACAGAAATTTCCACACAGAAACTATTTCCTCCGCAAGTAACGCTCGCTGCTGGGTGTGGGGGGTGATGGAATACTGCAGGTGGTAGGGTAAAACATCGCGGCGATGAGTCAGCTTGGTATTTCCCACAGCTCCTCCCAAAATAAAGACGTTTGGCAACAAATGTCGTCAGCAGCCTAGTCGAGCGAGTAACAACTGCCCTCCCCACTTCGGACACAACACACGGCGGACAAACCTTACCGAAAAGGCGCCTGACGCATTCTCAGTTCCCTCAGAACGGGAAACGTTGCTTGAACAGGGTGTAACTCGTCCTCCTTGTCCTTTCACGTTACGTGAATTGTCGCTGGAGGCCTGGAAATTGGGGCAGACTTTTCTGTTACAAGCCCGTTTCAAGCAACAGGCTGACGGCGGGATAATATTTCGAGCAGCAAATCCCGAACCACAGCGACTCTCGCGAGAATTCCCGAGATTTTGTCACCACTACTGCGCATGCTCACAATTGAGCGCCATTTTGTGAGTTTCGTAAGAATGTTTTGAAGTCGAACAACAACAACAAGAATGATATTTTCTGTACTTTCTTTTTGAAAGCGTTAAGCATGGCACAAGAAAGAGTGATCGCTCTGGTGGACATGGACTGCTTCTACGTGCAGGTGGAACAGCGGAGGGATCCGTCCCTGAGGGGAAACCGTGCGCTGTTGTCCAGTATAAGAAATGGCAAGGGGGAGGGTAAGGAAATTATTTACCTTTAGGCTGTGCAGTAGAGAGAGAAGAGAGAGAGAGAATGGTTTATTCAACAGCAAAACCCTTGCAGCAAAATGCTGAATTGCTTTTTTCCACTAAAATCGTATGCTTATCAGCATTATGCATTACAAATCAGAAATAACAAAGACATAAATCACTATAAAATTAAACAAGAAGCCATAGGCGACAATTCTCCGTGAAGTATTATATATTGCAACAAAAGAAGTAGCCATTGGCGACAATTCTCTGTGAAGTGTGATAAATCGAACAAAGAAAAATTGTTTAAACGCGCGTCGGCTCAGTCATCTTAAGACGCAACAACCAATCAGAGATGCGAGATGCCTACACGTGACGCGGGAAGGGCGCGCGATGCCGAAATATTTTTGCGTCAATATTCAGCGCCGTGATTCAAGAGATTAATACCCGGAAACAATTTTTTTCTTGTTTTGAACGCATTAACATGCATTTACGCTAATCTAGTATGATTCAGGGTTACTTTTTTTTAACCTGTCCATGGCCAGATTATCTAAAGATGTGTGTATTGTGTGTACAATCTATAGAAAGAGAAATGTACATCAGGTCCGATCATCCGATTTTCACGTTTCGGTTTTTTGGACTCGGTTCATGAACGTATTTTGGTTTGGCTCCTGGAATGTGCAAAAAAATGACTCCCGGGACTGTCTACAGGGAACACTCGCACATTCGCGGTGTATCAGGACAGCGCGACTGGTCGTCATTAGCGCAGTAACAGTTGCATAAACGGACGAAACCATTTCAAAGAAATGGGGATGTTTCGAAAATAAGCATTTACTCCAATATCAAAACAGCTACGGTAAAAATAAAAAGACGTGCATCATCCCGGACATAATGCAACACCACATGCGAAATTACACAGAAATGCGACGTACGGAAGAATGCGTTTTGGCTGCGAACATCTTCCAAAAAACTTGGCATCTCTTAACCATGGGCAAAAACATCTGGAACCACTTATAAAAACCACCCCGTATCTGCATGAACTTTTTTGAACCCCACTGCTATTCCAAACAACGCGTTTTTCTGGACCATTCCAATTCGCCTCGTAATTGTAGGGGTGCGTCTGCGATATTACATTGACCGCGAAAGCAGCAACGGCAAAAATACACATTCGTGCATCAACACGGGCATGCCCGCAGACGGCGTATAAAATTGCGTGCCGATTACACAAAGAGAACCCAGTGTTTTGACTGCGAACATGAAAAATCAGCCGATTACAACACTCCGTCCGGAGGTCCTGACCTCCTTCACGGAGTAATAAAATCACTATCATCACGACTTAAATTTCTACTGCTTTAACTGTCATTCAGCAAACGGACACAATAGGGTAGTGTACTGTTAAACATGCGTAGTTCTTGCCATTTATTCATGAAGTTCACCACGGGTTAACTGGGGACCACTGGGGACTACTTTAGTTCAACGCGTCGGGTCACCTGCATACAAATAGTTTTTAGTTGATAAATCATAAATAACTGATATGTATTTGTAAAGAAAAGGAACATAGGAAAATAGTGATATCAGACAAAATTTTATCCCTTGTTAATAGCTGGTTTGTTACACCGACCGAAGGGCAGTTATATGGGCAATACAGATACAGATACATATCTCATAGTATTGTGAAAAATCATACAACAACAACACCCCACTCACGTATGTTTGTTGCTGTGACCAGGATTATTGCCGTAGGATACGAGGCACGAGCGAAGGGTGTGACAAGACAGATGCGAGGGGACGAGGCTAAGAAGAAATGTCCAGAGATCACCCTGGTCAGGGTACCGGAGTCTAGGGGCAAGGCTGACCTCACCAGGTAGGAGCTTATAGGTGCCTGTATGCCAGACTATATGTATTCCTGGAGCATGTACAAGAACCCAACACACTTATCAAGAAGAGGGGTGACCCGAACGTGTGCGCTTGGCAATAAAACGTGAGCTATAGGCCTGTAGCAATACTAAATTGCACTGTAAGCTACTTAAAAAAGTATCATGCTTCACCTCAGTTGAGGATGCCAGATGAGTCTGCTTTACCTTTCCGAGGCCTACACATTCATATGTGTTTGTTTCCAGATTATGATGCTTTTTTCACTTTCCTACAGATACCGTGATGCGGGCCGTGAAGTGATTGAGGTGCTGTGTAAGTTCAGCAGGTGTGTGGAAAGAGCCAGTATTGATGAGGCTTACATCGACCTTACGGAGGAGGTTATGAAGAGGATGGAGGAGAGGGGACCAGACTGTGTCACTGTGGACATGCTGTCTTCTACACACGTCGGTGGCTGGCAAACAGAGACTGATGGACAGAATTCTTCTGAGGGGGTTAACTTAGGTTGGACACTTGCAGTCACTAGTTCTTATGAAAGTGTTAGACTGTAAGTAAGAAGTAGAATGCATAGTTTTCTAAAATAACGTGAAAGCAATTTATCATTATGTTGAATTGATGTGACATTTTAGTGTAGAGCTAAAGGCCTTGGACAGCTCAGTTCCATCAGCTTCAAACCCTGGGAGTGGGCTGTGGCTGTCCTTTCAGCCTCTGCCTAGTTGTTATATCCTCCATTTTAGTACTGCAAATCTTGGAACATTCAGTGGTTTTATTTGCACAGTTTTTGCTTTGACCTCTCTGCGAAATTATGCCACTGCAATGGTGTTTTTTGACTGTATCACTACTGTACTACATACAGAATTGTTTTAACTGTAAAACCTCCTTTCTCCTACCATGAAACTACCATAACTCCTGATGAAGATGAATGAAGTTACAGTCTCCCTAAATAACTGTTGTTTGTTGATTGACAGATGATCGAGCTGTTGGAGTGTTCCAGTGGCTGGACAGCCTGAGGAAGAAAGATGCCAGCATGTACGACCGACGTCTGGCCATGGGAGCAGCCATTGCTGAGGAGATGAGGGCTGCAGTGGAGAGGGAAACTGGCTTCCACTGTTCTGCTGGCATTGGGCATAACAAGGTGTGTTCTGTCTGCTATGTACATTTCAGTTAGCTGACTCCAGAATATAGCAGCTGGTACCTGGGCAAAGTTTGATTTTTGGACATCTGTTAGTATGAGTTCTTGCTTTACTTTTCTGCTACGACTCTGAGCTTGTAGAAATGCAGTTAGTACTTGAAAGAATCCATAGTACATGTACATGTAGCATCGTTTAATTTACAGTTAAATGATCAATATCAGTATCTGTTGAATCTACTTTTGTGAAAAAGGCACACCTGTATTCTCTGCCCTAGGTTCTTGCTAAGCTGTGCTGTGGACTTCACAAGCCTAAGCAGCAAACTGTCCTTCCTCATGCCTCAGTCCCACAGTTGTACAGCACACTCCCCATCAAGAAAGTGTAAGTATGCCTTAGCTCATGTTTGGAATCAGGAAAGGATTTCAACATACATGTATTTTCAATCTTAGTATCCTATTCAAAATCATGTAAGAATGCATTAAGGAAACAATCTAAGAAAGTCATGTTGCCCCTTGTGAATTGAACTGATATTATCATTTCTACAGTAGCAGTAACAGTCTTTTGCACAATTGTCTGGCTCACAATTACAGAGCCACTATGGTAAGAAAGAAAATTCCCAGCCATCCAAACCCAATTTTCAAATCATGCAGCAACCTTTCCCTCTGTACCTGT